GACTGGCCATTGAATCGGGTCCCAGTGGCTGAATGGTATACGAGCTAGCTTGCCTTGTAACTGGAAGTTCCTGGGTTCAAACCCCATCCGGTGAGTGCATACTGCCGATGATTCTCAAACTAGGATGAAACAGCTGTCTGTCCAGTTCCCTCTGGTTTTCAATGGTTCTCTGACTGATATCAATCTTTACAAATCAACTCTTGAAAATTACTCACTTCGCAATTCCTGATATATTTAAGTTCTTTCTCTAATGACTAATTATTTATCTAAGTGATATAATTGAAGCGTAATACATTTTATCTTAATTTGAATCTCTTATAATCCCTTACCCCTACCTATTTGAACATGACCTGAAAAAACATTAAAGTGTCGTTTTGTGGGATTAATTCAATGTAGTTTATTTGCTTGTTTTGAATTAGTATCGGGAAATAAATGTCTCCAATCGACCGACATGTTTGGGAAAAAAGAGTAAATGATTGAATAGTGGACAGGAAACTTAATCAGAGCAGGCATTTAGTCTGGTTTACCAAGAGCTCAATTAACTTATCAAGAGGAGCTCGACTAAGTCTACCATCCGTAACCAAAGAGCTGTAACAATCACAATATGCGGAAACTTCATCTTCTCTCTGTATTCAGATGAAGTACTTTCAGACACACATCCTCCATAAATACTGGGTAATTGAAACTTTAATTTCCCTATCCTGTTCTGTTCTGTGCCACCTTCTAGCCTTGATTCACTGAAAAACTTTTATTTCAGACATTTACAACATGATGACGTCACTCATGCATAGCTTTCCCCTTTCCATTACATGAAATACTTCATCACGTGACAATTGTTCACTAATACTACTACTACTATCATGTCTATCCTACAATATAACTATTGGCAATATTTTATCATTAATGGTCATCGCTTGAACTTACACATCCAATGTATCGCATTTATTTGTGAATAGTGATCACTTTTGCCCTAATACCACACTGATTGGAACTGATCCGTTCAAACGTATATTCTGTTTGAAACAATTAGTTCCCTTTATGAATTTAGTTAGATAAAGCAATAAGAATACGTAATTTGTCTGAATCGTGTTGTAATGTATTTGCGCAACACATTTCAAACAATCTGATCACACACAGACTTATCATAGGAATATATATATGAAATTAATAAAGAGTTAAGAGGTGAGAAAATAGACTTAGGTCAAGTTAAAAGGACATATTGAAGGTCAAAATAACAATGGAGATCAACAAACCAAAGAAGGGAGATAATAGTACATCTGCCATGGTATCAAAACAAAATTTACCAAGGAAGGTTTAGTGGGATGACGAATTGTTTTTGAACGCATAAAGGTGGCTTAGACTAATTGCTAGGGCTTCCACAAACTTTAGGACACGCCCCAAACACGTTTTATAGATAGGTTTAAAAGATCTGTTATGGTCAGTTTTATGTTCTGTCTCTATAATATGTTTCGCAACAGAGAAGCTAGGTCGTCTGTTCTCACCATTATTGGGCTTTGAGGATTCTATTTGCTTCTGAAGACACTTAGGAATATGCTCTGAAGCCCTTACTTACAGAGTCCTATGTATGTGTGGCCATACGTACACTTAAATTGGTAAATACAGTGGGATGTGGCATTATTTTTCGCATGTTCTAAGGGCCTAGATGGATATTATCGACTTCATATTCTCAATTATTATGATCTCAGTTGCATAAAAAGTCTTTTTAACCGCAGGGTTCAATCTTTGTCTAGTTGTCAAGCTGCTTAGATCACCCATGCAGGGTAGCTTGACATATACATCTTTCTCAGTGGCGAGTTGGAGAGTGGGTGATCTGAACACTTTATTATCTCCTGATGAACTTCTATGGATAATTATTATCAGAAATTGATCATAAATTCATAAACTTCACTCAACGATTTTATCTTATCTCATCTTGTAATCTTATTGACCATACGTTTGTTATATGCATTTGTGAACAATAATCAAGTCTAACTGACTGTTATTATTCCATCTTATATTGTAATACAGTTTTTCTGATATAATTCTAATTTGCCTTTACTGAGCTGTTGTTGTCTTGCTAACATATCAATGAACACAGCCTGAGGAAGAAGCTATTGTAAAGAAAGAAAGAAAAAAAGCTGTTCGCTCTAAATATATTCAATTATTTTTATACTGTGAATAGATCACATGATGACATTCAAATAATTAGATCTCATTTTCCATATGCAACATATTTATTTATTTATTTAGTCAATAAATAACTGAATTCATCATCCTAGGTCACAGAGAGAGAGAGAATAAATACACAACTCATCACACAGAGCCTTATACTCTTGAATTAATTTTCCTTCTCTATTTTTTTTTCACCTAATTATTTTTGAATGCTCAACAAATTAATAGGTTTTAATTTATTTTTTTTTTAAAAAAAGATGAGAACAACAGTGGAAAAAGACAGTGTCTAATAAGTAGGTCAGATGTCAAAACTGATTGATGCAAAATGACCAATTAGTTTACCATATCTCAAGGTCAACAAGTTAAATATGCCGAGATTTGATTGGTTGTTAATTTGCGTTTATAAAGAGTATGAAAAAAAGCAATAACAAATGTACTTTACAATGCACAGTTGGCTTACGAGCGCACATGCTAATTATATATATATATATATATATATATATATATATATATACATGTATTTGCAATTAAAAGTGTTCTCTGAGCTGGTTGGTTTAGTTGCGAAGCTTTCATCGTCCTTCTGGACAACATCTTCAGCGCCATATTTAGCACAAAGTGAAATGATTTAAATTTTCCATGAGTGATATAATTGCGTCCGTCTCCTGGTAACCATCTTTACATATGTATTGATCACTTTCCATTGACTTGGATTTTAAACTTTCTCGTCACCTGATTTACTTTTTATTAGTTGGTATATTTCGTCTATATTAACGTGCTTGCTAATTGCATTTTCGTTTGAGTACCAGGAATCTAGGAATTCCCTGACTGCACACTTGGTATTTCCTCTGTCTAAGATTTTGACATTATCCCAATCAAATTGCTGACCATAATTGTCTATATGCATTGATACTAAAGAATACATATCGTGTCTTTTCACAGCTGATTTGTGATCCTGGATTCTAATTCGAAGGGGACGCCCACTTTGGCCGATGTAATGCTTGTTGCAATTCATACTATTTATTTTGTAAATGGTATTAATTTTATCCCCTTTTTCTGTTGGATCTTTCGGTTTGCATAACATCGAATTAAGCTATTTGACTGGCTTGTGCGCTATATCTATATCAAACGGTTTCAGAATTATAGCTGTTATTTAAGAGATATTACTCAGCCGTGAAAAGACACGATATGTTTTCTTTAGTATCAATGCATATAGACAATTATGGTCAGCAATTTGATTGGGATAATGTCAAAATCTTAGACAGAGGAAACACCAAAAGTGCAGTCAGGGAATTCCTAGAAGCCTGGTACTCAAACGAAAATGCAATTAGCAAGCACGTTAATATAGACGAAATATACCAACTAATAAAAAGTAAATCAGGTGACCAGAAAGTTTAAAATCCAAGTCAATGGAAAGTGATCAATACATATGTAAAGATAGTTACCAGGGGACGCAATTCTATCACTCATGGAAAATTTAAATCATTTCACTTTGTGCTAAATATGGCGCTGAAGATGTTGTCCAGAAGGACGATGAAAGCTTCGCAACTAAACCAACCAGCTCAGAGAACACTTTTAATTGCAAATCATCCACCTGAGCTACAAATCTTCTCTATTATATATATATACATATATATATATATATATGTATATATATATATATAAGACAAGGAAAACTGTCCAGGGCATCTTGGTTTTCAGTAAATCTCTCTAATTGATGTAGCTTCATGAAGAAATCTACCAATTAAAATTCACTCGAATCCCTCTACAGAATGATGCACAATCTAAATATACCTAACTCTAGCTGACTACTGATGACTATTGGATGAGTGTCCTGAAGCAGTTCTAAGAAGTCATTTGTGGTCAGAGAGGTCAACGATGGTCCCGGAGAGAGTTCTATTACGACCGTTGGTGTGCACTGAGTCACAAACTAGGACGAAACACCTGTACAGTGGCTCCATAGTTTTCAATGATCTCTAACTGGTGTTAGATCGTGGCGAAATCTAACAAAATAAGGTAAGTCCAAATCATGATCTAAATTATCTAACTTTTGATACACACGTGAAATTATGTAGGATGAGCAAAAATATCTGAGAACAGATTAGACATTTGAAAAGAATTCTTGACTACTGAGTGCAAATTTTGTTTAAAATTTTATCCAAAATGATTGCCTCGATAACTTGAAGCATGCGTAATAACGGTGAAGATAAAATACAGCAGCCACAAAATGACTGCAAGTTAACAGTCATATCACTAGTCATAAATGCAGTGTAAGTTTTGCTTCAGCACAGCAGCTTTCTACCGATGAAGGTTAACGGTTAGATTAGGATTAATAGTCCTAGTCTAATCATTAACCGTAAACCCTTTTGACGTGGAACTTTACAGAGAAGCGCAGCGATTCAAGTTATCACACCTTATAAAAGCTAACATAAAGGTATAGAAACAATGAAATTTAATGAAATAGGAGAAAGGACAGTTGAATGAAGAATACTGAGGATTAAATAAGTCTAGGATTTCATAAGGAGTGAATACATCTGCACCAGTGCGAACGATTTCTAGTCAGGTCACCACCATTGGATCTTAGAGACTCAATGACCCCAGCCAGGCAGTTAACATCTGCTTATATGACTCAAAAATAGAACAGTCAAAGACTTGATGGACTGATGAAGACTTGTAGGCAACTACAAGTATTAACAGTAACCACAACAACAAAAAACTCGAAGGAATGACCTATTTTACCAATGTGTGAAACTAAACAACATAAGAATATATAAATAGATAAATTTTCAATCGAAGTAGACAGCCATAAATAGATAAATAAATTGACTTACTAATCTGCGTCGTTTCTTATTCCAGCCTTCAGCTCTTCTTCGAGAGTCCGCGCGACCAGATGCTGTATTATAAAAAAAAAGAAAAGAAGTTGAAATAATATAGAACTAGGATGTGTATTATTATTACTATTATTATTGACAATATCTGTTGTTATGACACAGACTGACTGACTGACTGCTGGTTTCATCATAGAACTTTGAACAGATGTGCAACAGTCCCAGTTGCCACAATCCCTCCCTCCATGTAGCATACAAAGCAATAGGAGAGAGTAGAGAAAGATTCAAAAGACAGATAATGAACACAAGTGTGAGGCGGCGAAAAGAATACTAATATGAAAGAACAATTGAGTTTTATTGGATATGCTAAATCACAAAGAGTGAATACACCTGAGCTATCATTCAGGACGATTTTGAGACATATCATTGATTGTTATGACATAGAATATTAGTCAATATTGGATGGTTTTAGGAAATCAGAGAAAATGTATCTGAATAAAGCAAGAACAACCGTTTGTACAGAATGAAAAGATACTATCATTTATTTCAATGGTTTCTCATTACCTGCTTACAGCCTGAAGAAATTATTAAGTTCATGTACAGAAACAATATTAACATACTTACCTAGAGAGTTCAAGTTTAAACAAAATATCACTGTGTGCATACAATGGTGATGATAATAATAATCACTTAATTCTAAACAATGACAGTCATACAGAATGAAATTTTCAGCGTTATGTAATCGAATAAAAGAGAGAATTAAAGACATCCAGTTACCAGGACAAGCAAAGACTGATAACTGCTTCTTCTTTCTGAACACATAAATCACGTTTCAACGAGGAGAATTGAACTCTTTTGTCTATTGATAATTTTGAAGAATCTTATGATGTTCACCTCCTCCTCATGACCTGTATCGAGGAGATGTCTGGCAATGGCACTGTTGAAAGCGTTTGTTCCCTTGAGATGTATACTTTTTGGTGCACTTCCAGAAAATCAGAGGTGTGGCCTTCTTTCTTTTCTTTTCCAATCAACCAATAAGGATCTCAGTCAGTGAGAACAGCCAAGCAGCATAGCCACTACTATACTTCTAGTTTGACAGACAAGCATTACTCGAAAGCAGCTAATTGCCCACATGTCAAGGGATTACAGCTCTTCCGGATAATAAAACTTAATTAATCATTCATGTCTAGTGAGTTGACTTACAATTAACAAGAATTCATGGGAGAAAAGAAAAGAACACATAAATCATTGAGACAGCCACCAATCAGTTGGATGATTGAATGACCTCCGGTTAAACCGTATTATCATGATTCACGAAAAATCGGAGCAGTTACACACACACACACACTGTCTACTTTGTGTAAATGGAATTCAACAAATTGAGATAGAAATCGAGATTTACAAGGAAGAAAAAACTGACAAAAGGGTAACATCGACTGAACACTAGAGCAACTCAACATGACAAGTAGAATCTTAATGACCACAGATGACAGTGATGAGATTATTTAACTGAGACTTCAATTTACTTTCTAAAAGCTTTTCATAATTCATCACAGCATTGAAACTGTCAATTCTTACAGACATGCTAATTACATTAAGCCTCACTGATGATTAAGGTAGAAGAATAAACTTATTGTGTGTTATCATTATGCTATAATTCTTCACTACGCTGTGGGCATCACCACCTGAAATCATGCATACAGGTGTGAAATCAATCGATGAGGCTGTAAAGCTACACCGATTGAAATAGTTAGGACATGTGTTACTGCTCATGCCTAGACATCGACTTCCTCAACGGACAATATTAGCTGACATAGGAGGGATCAAGCTGGAAAAGAGCTAGTGGTATTCAGACAAAAACATGGCTTCATCAGTCAATGAAATCCACAACAGTTAGTTTAAGCTAGCCAGCCAACCAGCCAAGTGGGAAGATGTAGATTCGCTTATTGGTTGGGGTCCTCAGGATGGTAAAACCAATGACGGTTGGAGACAATTGGTGATATGGCTCAAAATTGTTATGAATGACAGCTGCTCAGGTGCATTCACTCTTTGTGATTTGGCATATCCAATAAAACTCAATTGTTCTTTCATATTAGTATTCTTTTCGCCGCCTCACACTTGTGTTCATTATCTGTCTTTTGAATCTTTCTCTACTCTCTCTTATTGCTTTGTATGCTACATGGAGGGAGGGATTGTGGCAACTGGGACTGTTGCACATCTGTTCAAAGTTCTATGTCGAAACCAGTAGTCAGTCTATCAATCAGTCATACAGATGAGTCATTATTTTTGTAAAACCAGATCATGTATAGTGTGGAGACTCAGTATTTATCCATCAATGCATTTACGTTACCTAAGAGGTGAATGCAAATATGCCTAAATGAAAACACCACTGAAGCATGGGCAAACATGTTTGTTTGTGAGCATTGAAGCATATAGGTCGGGCAGTAGTGTTCTGGAAAATGAGTACTCTACGATTAACAGCACTTATAAGATGAGTGAATTAGTGGATACACTGAAATCTCATATTAACTACTATGGAAAAAATTTCTTTTGATAAAGTCCCCTATCGTAGCAGATACCTTCATGGACAGCTAGTTGGGAAAATACTACCCTTATATATATATATATATATATATATAATCCTACTCCAAAGATACAGTGGAGATATGTGGATGACACTTTCACAGTGTTAAAAACACAGCATATCTCTAGTTTCTTCACACATATAAACTCACTAGTAAAGGGAATAAAATTCACAATTGAATCTGAAAATGAACAAGGAGAATTATCTCTGTTAGATTGTAAAATTAAACGAACGGGAAAAAGGTAAACTGCACACTAGCGTTTATTAAAAGCCTACGCATTCTAATACATATTTAGACTTTAATTCATCTCATACGTTATCTGTGAAGCCATGCTTAGTCAAGTGTCTAAGAGACCGAGCAATAACACTAGGTATTACGTCAAAATACCTAAATAATGAAATGAAATAGATAAAAGAAGCGTTAGCGCTAAGTAACTATCCTGTAAAATTTATTAGAAAGATCAAAAAAGGCCAAAAGCAAAGTAAAAAATAATAATAACATAAATAACAAAAAATATAAGGCATCTATAGTTTTACCATATAAGGAGGGGACATCTGAGGCCCTATTTAGGATTCTCAATAAAGCAGGAATTAGCGTGGCATTCAAACCTACAAACTCACTCAGGTAAGACAAGCTCTGCAGATTAAAGGACCCTGTTGACCCAATTAGACAAAATAATATAATTTACAAAATACCCTGCAATGACTGTGAGGTCAACTACATAGGTCAAACCAGTAGGTCAGGGGTAGTCAGATTGTCGGAACATAAGAATTTAGCTAAGGTAAGAATGGTTGACCCCGAGAAGATAAGTAATTTAGAAAAAAGATCAGCAATTGCACTGCATGCAATAACACACAACCACACAATAGGGTGGGTGGGACAGAGTCAAAATTCTAAACAGTAATATAGGTAGGTGGAGAGAGAGGTTGATTACTGAATCCTTGTTCATCGAGTCTACACCCAACACATGCAGTAGAAGTGACTCAACGCAAATACCAGAGATATGGAAGATATTATTACCACCAGTCAAATCAGAGGATAATAAATAATGTTAAAATGTATTCAATTCACATTATAACACTCTAACAAGTTATTTATTTTACTAAAAACATATTTCCCATCTTATTGACTAACAACACTCGTCCTAATTCTCATCGTATCATATTTATTGACAACGCTAATATTATTTCCCAACGTACTTCATCTTCCTTTCTGTTTCACGCATGTCTTTTATTGATTTTATTCATATGTCTAGTCACTTTTTACCTTAATATGATTATGAGCGATAAATTGAGCTCGAAACGTGATCATCAGTAAATATTACTGTATAACCCTGTGTGACTTTATCAAAATAAATTTCATTCATAATGGAATTATACTCTACCACAGTGCCTAAGTTTTATCCTTATATTAATAACTTATATTAACTACTTGAAAAAGTGAATCAACTGTTAGCATTCATCCAGTGTACAACGGATTATCCTGTATTTTGTGAATCCAAACAAGTGTATAATTAACAGCTGCCTTCGCTGGCGCAATACAGTAGGTTAGATAACTGGCGGGAAAGAAGAAACGGCAAGGAGCTCTGGCGGTGAACGAATCGACAACCTTTTTTGCAACAGATATGCAGAAAAAGATTGATAAAATAAACACAGAGAAGACCGTTGAGTGACAACATTATGCGCCAGGCCATCGAATGGAATCTGTATAGGTAACCACCACAATGAGTTCGGCAACAGTCAGAGGCTGAGGTGGAACAAATCGCGTGTGAGGAGGAAATGAAAGCTTATGGACAATTATAGAGCCAGAGCTAAAAACGACACTACAGAAGACGAAGTCACTAGTAATCCAAGTGATAAGAAATTGTCTGGAAAGACAATCAGTCAATCAGTCGGAAATCGGTAATATGAAAAAAACATAAACTCATAGATATTAGGAAAACACTACACAATGAATGTGCGTCGGTGGTTCAGTGGTAAAGTGCTAGCTGACCATGAGTATGTGGTCCGGAGTTCGAGTCCCGACCGGCACACACACCTTTACCTTCCTAAGTCGGTTATAATCCCAACAAAGAGGGGAGAGGTTGGGCGTGAGGCTAGCAACCTCAACCACTGCTACTGAAACTTCAAAGAAAACTTGAAGCCCTATGTTCAGCAGTGAATGCAAAGAAATAAAAAAACAACCATGAATTGATTTTGGACTAAAATTTGTCCTAATATCTCAGAGGACGTCAGTCGCTACGAAGCATTTTTTCAATTTGGAAGTGGATAGCGTAAATTCCTATTAACCATTCCCTTTTAGACCAATTTATATGTATTCACCTTTTTAGTGTCTTCTGTTAAGATGATAAATCCATCAGTGTCGCCTATTTATCCTGAGAATGAATGCCTTTCATCTACAAATGTGTAGTATATATTGCTGAAGACGTTAAATAAGTACGTTAAATATGGTAGTCCTCACTGATGAACGTCATTCAACGG